AGTTTCTAATTTAGAAGGACTCTCTTGAATTCAAGGCCCACTGGAATCTGTAGAAAGATTGCTGTGTTGAGTGTAATGCTGCTGAACTTCACACCTTCAGTACTGACTTACATCTGAGACCTGTGTCGCAGGGAGTAATAAGTTGTTCATCTGGTGCATTTTGGACACCCAATTTACAACGTGAACCTAAAATTCTACTTCGAACTCATCTGAGTTTTGGGGGTTTGAGTTTCTGCAGGTACTTGATTAGGACTTCTTTCCCAGTTTATGACTTTTCAAAAGGACCGTTCAGACTAATTCAACTGTTCAGACTGATTCAGATAGTGGTACTCATCTGGGTGCATTCTTAGTTAGGTGTGTTTCTGTTGATGACAGGATCAGTCCCTAGGTTTTTGGTTTTGCTTCGGTCTTCACGTACTTGGATTAAAGGCAGAATTTTACCTGCTAAGATCATATTTTGCATTGTAAATGAACATACTGCTGATGATTTAAGTGTTAATAGGATGACCAAAGTGTCTGCTAATCTGAGTAAAAAGTCACTTGAGCAGCACAAGGAACTTGATCCAGTCTCGAGTTCCGTGTGTCTTTTTATTTGAGTTCACTTGAAATCTGGAGTTGAATAACGGATGTTTTTATTGTTATAGTCAAAACCTTAACAGCTTTAGTGATGTTAATCAGGCTCAAAGTGCCAAGATTTTTAGTGAGATTTCAAATTTCTCAGCATTTTTGAAAAATAAGAGAGCGGAGTCCCTCTTCTGAAGAGCTCTTTGCTCACCGCTCCCTGTGGCACTGCTCCCCACTCCCACAGGACTTTCTGCTGAAGCTGTGGGGATCTGGGAGTTGCATATCCTAGGCAATGGGTGGGAACCCTTCCCTGAAGATGTGGGACACTGCTCTCACGTGGGTACAAATATAGTAAAACATGAGTTTATGTCAGTGCTGTAAATCTGTTTTATTAGCACAGCTGCCATTTCTAACACTTCCACTTTTGATTCATACTAGCAAGAAGGCTTGATGGGAAGTGTGACAGCTGCAGTAGCTCCTTGCTAGAATACTATCCCTCTGATAGTCTCCAACCTTTTAATCCAGGACTCTGTCCTCCCTCTCTTAGAATTTTTCACACATTTGGTCCAAATTTCACCTGTCTTCCACACAGCACTGTAAAAATGTAAAAGTGATCCCTGGGAAAACCCCAGAGGTAAGGATCCAGCAGAAGTTGTGGAACAGCTCTGCTTTTTCTTGGCTTCCTCGCCCTGAGGAGGCTGTTGGGGCGTGTTGGTGAGAGGTGAGTTGTCAGCCCCCAAGGAGATCTGACCTTTCACAGTTTTTTTTGGTGGTCCTAGAAGTGGAGATCTATGGTGTGTGAGCCACCTTTTGTGTAGGCTCTCTGAGGTGCAAAGATGAAGAAATGGATCTTTGCTGTTCTGAAGGCTAAGCTGTTTTTCTGGTCTTGGTATGTTAATTAGGAATTGTTCCTACACCTAGTGAACACAACTAGTTGAGTAGCTGCAATTTAGACCAGGGGAAATAATAACAGGCCAGTCCTTTTGTTAGTACAATGTATATTGTTTAAGGAAATGGTTTAACTGGGTGTACTTTTTCTTGTTAGGAGTCTCATCTCAATCAGGAATTGTTAGTGTAGACCAACTGACACAGCTTCTGCAGTGTAGATTAGCCCTCTCCTCTCTGGCTTTGACTTAGTCCCAGATTAGCCTGTTACATGGGCTTTGCCCACTTTTCACTGGTAAAGTTCAAACATGACTATGTCCTCTTGGCTGGAGTGACATTTTTAGTGGAGCTTGACTATAAAGTTACAGCAATATGTGAAAATGCATGTGTTGTTTTCCTTAGAAAAAACCTGATTCCAACTGCAATGGTGATGAGTGAATTTTTAAAGGCCATGCGGGTGAGGTATTCCAGAGAGGAAGCAGCTCTCAGTGACAGAGCTTTAAGTGAGTGTGTGTATGTTCTAGCTTATCCTGCCTGCAGAGCTAATGTGAACAGCGCAGCTGAGAGCAGGGACTGACTGTAGCCACTAGTGCTGTCACCCCCAAAAAATGGGGCTGGAATCCAGGAGTCACAACTCTCAGCCAAATAGCTGCTCTTGTGACAACTTCCTAGCAGATCTGCCAAAGAAAATAATCTGTAAGTAGTCCTTTACCTTATCTAGTAGAAAAAGCACAGATAGAAGCAGTCTGCATAGTTTGGTTCCTTAAAAAGAATGGTCTAACAAGGTTCCATATGAGCAGAATTTTGCCATTCAGTCTTAATTTTGTTAAAAAGGTTAAAATTTTAGAGTTTTGGATAAACCAGGATTCTGCTCTGGTTTTCCTTGTATATTCTGTATTTATTGTATCTTTCTTTTTTTTTCCCCCCAGGTGACCCTTACTGGTTGGAGTAAACCCATTTTGGTGAAGACTCAAACAGCAGGAACTGTGTAGTGATGGTTGTTTTCAATTACACTATGAAGGCATGTGGTAGATGAGGCAGGTGAAAGATGAGTGTGTTCTCACAGCTAAATCAGTTTTGTGTTGCTGCTGGAACTGAAGACTCATCCTGCCTCTGCCATAAAACTTCCTCCTGGTCAGGCCATGCATACACACGTGCACAAGCTCCCCACGGGATCTCCAGCGTGAAGCAGAGATTGTAGGCGGGGAGTTTCCCAGGTGCTGCATGGTTGCAGAGGGCTCTGCTCTCTGTGTAATCGTGCTGTGAAAGCTCGTTAGGTTCTTGGTGCACTCAACTTCCCAGCTTGCTTCTCTACATGTAATAGAGTAAAGATATTTTCTCAAACAGATTACGGAGTTTGTTGCTAAAACAAAAGCCTGTCATGCCATGTAGTGTGTACACCGTGAAAAAATGGATACAAAGTTTTAACATACATTAAAGCTTAACTGAACTTTTTTTAAAAAGCTGTGAGGAGCCACTCAACACAGTAAGTGGGGTTGGGGGCTTGGCAGGAAGCAGAGAGTGTGACTTTAGTGGCTGTGATTTTATGTGCCAAGATAAACTGATCTACAGTTTCAAAAGTAACTGCACTTCTCTTGTTTTGAGGTGGTGGTTGCTCTTACAGTCCCAAAACAGAATACTTCAGATCATCAAGCCTAGACACTATGCTTTTAAAGAACATCCAGGAGTTCTCAAATATTTCTGTTAAACCACTTTTCCTGATAAATGCAGCTGGTCTGCAAATTCACATTTTAGCTAAATTTACAATTTAGCAATACTGAAACTGTGAGATGAAATGGGAACTGATGCTGAATGTAAGTATTAGACGCAAATGGGGTGGGGGGAATCCTGAAAAATGTTTGCTAGAAAAGTTAGAATTAAAATGTAACCCAATTCTTGTTACTGGAATTAAGTGGTGCTTGATAAGTTTTTCTGCTGCATAAAAGATGTAATGTCCCATTACTTAACAACCCTGTGTAAGTCAGGCTATTGATGCAGAGCTGTTTGCACTGTACTACAAGACTGTCACCCAGCTGTTCTGCTGACTGATTGATTCACTTCCCTGAGCGGGGCTTCATGCTTCAGACCTTCTCAGCAGTTCAGAGAAGTCAAGAGTTGAGCTATTCTAAAACCAAGACCTCGAGGTAGGATCTGTTCTGGTTCCAAGGAGAAAAACCTTCACTTAAGAGCAGTTGCTGCTTCTTGAGTAGCTCCTGTGACACTGTAACATAATTTATGGCAAAAGGATGGGTTTGTAGTCAGACGTTTTTCCTGTCTCTGCCTGACTTTACTCTTTTCTCCAGTGGGTGTGTTTGACATATTCAACAAGAGTCCAGTATCACACTCAGAAATACTGCTCTCAGGTGAAGACAGAACAGTAAGCTATTGCAAATGGATTTTGGACTTTTAGCCAGAATTTAGTCATTGCAGCTTGTCCATGATGCTGCAGATGCTTGTAACAAAATTTTTAGGTTATGTTCCTGAAACAATACACTCGACTAAAGTGACTTTGAAAAAGGTGATAAAACAGCAGTTGTGTCATAATTCCTGAAAACACATTTAGAAAGAGAAGTTGCTGGGGAAAAAAAATCCCTTCATCCTCTCATGAGGAAGTGGTAATATTCTGTAGACTAGGAATAAATTAAAAATAAAAAAAGAAACTTTTACCTTAGAGGATAATTAAGACATCTTACCCTATGCTAACTCCTTGCAACTTGTATTGATAAAAATCAAATAGCATGATAAGGTGAACAGAGAAATTGTGTGAATCTTACTTTAGTTTATCATTCTGCTACAGCTTCCTGTGACCTGAGATAAAGATCAACTCCATTCCCCTTTCATATGAATACTAAATGTAAAAAAAATAATATAAGTAGTACTAAAGAACTGTAATCCCATACAAGTATATAAACACCTTTTTCTGATGGGGTAGAACATAATATTAGATATACCTGCCTCATATATTAAAGTCATGCCAGATAACTTAAGGAGAACAAGTAGTAGTGCCATTTCCAAGCTTGGGACAGTGTCATGGCTGTACAAGAAGGAGCTGGGGAAAATCAGGGAAAATATTGTCAGAAATGCACAAAGTAGCACTCAGCATCTTTTTAGTTGTCAAGGGGACAAGGCAGTAGAATCCTTCACCAAATTAATACAAGGATCCACCTTTCTGTCTTTGCTTATTAAGAAGACAAAACTAAACCTCTCTCTGCATTACTCCTGCACGTGTCTGGGTCCACTCCCTAGAAAAGTTCCCCTAAAAACGCATCTCAGCTTTACACTAGCACATACATAGATTAAGACCTCTCTAGCGTCACTAGTACAGCAGTTGGGAATGATGTTCACAGACTGATTTATTATTTTTCGGTTTTTATTTTAGTAGATTTACAGATTTATCAAGAGACATGATTTCACTCTTTTCCAGAAGGATATGATAGGAATTTTCCAGGCTGTATGGTCTTAATGATTTTGTCAGTTTTCTTCCTGCATTTCTTCCGTCATCAGAAAACTACCCTTGCAAGTTCAAACAGAACCTGGAGAACAGCAAACAGTGATACGAATTTTTATTTGACTGAATAATCCTTAAACCAGTTTACACTGTAGGTCAGATAATCTGAAAAATAACTGTAGCTGCAATTTGAAAAGTTACTTGCAAAGAACTGAAGACTAATCCCCTTGTACAGTACATCACATTACTAAAATAATCTTAATTCTCAAATTATGAAGTATATAAATTGCACTTGTTATTACATGTTCAGTGTGGCAGTGATAAGAAACGCTACTAACCTCTATGGTGATGAGTATTACTATCATCCACTCAAGGCGCAGAGCGTGCTTTTCATTCAGGTGATTTCGCATTAGATCTGTCAGCTCCATGCAGTGTTGAAGCTTTTCATTCATTACCTGCAAGCAATTACAAACATGTGGCAAATCTGGATTCCAGAAATGGAATGAGATCACTAAATACGGGAACACACTCCACAGAAGAGCTCAGTGAACAGAACTAGAAAGCTGTTAACACCACTGCAAAATAAAACACAAAGCTCTGTAAGGGAACATGCACAAGCAATAAAAGTTTCAATACAAATGAGCCTGTTATTTCAATAGGTTCACAAAAATAATACAAATCTAGATATGCATTTGCAGGTACTAAAGTGCTTCTGGGTGATATCTACTCATGAAAACAGGCACAAGCAAAAGATGATGCAGCTTTTTGGAATACCTCCAAAGTAAATACTTAAGGCTGCTGTACCACCAGAAGTGGTAGTTTTTGTGCTTATTCTGGTTCAGCAGTAAGCATGATGTTGCCCTTTAAGAACTGACCTGAATGACCATGTCAGTAAGAAGAATGCTTCACATCTCATTATTATTTAACCTGTTTTCTTGCACACATTTCAGAGGAAGACTTTAATCTCTTCTTGTAACTCCTTAAATCCTAATTTAGTGGCTCAGGAAATACACAATCCATTCATGTGTGGCAAGTTAGCCTAAACTGGGTAAAGGTGCAAATGGGCTATGAACACATGGAAAAGGGGACAGCGTATAGCATCCTATTATTTATTCAGTTTCTCCAATTAATAGAGACACTCAGGGAGCAGTCTGTGGCCCTGCTGAGCCAAAGATGACTGATCTGAGCATGGAAAGTTCTCGTAACAGTAAGACACCTACCTTAACTCTGCGATTAATGTTGAGAAACTGGCACGTCTTGTCGTAAAGCTCTTCCAGTTTTTCTCTGTCCCAGTAGAAGTCAGGTGTTATTAGCAGGTCTGAGCTCAGATTTATACGGTGTCTAAAAAGAATGGGTACTAGTGTGGTTCAGGCTTCCTTTTGGTGAATATAGGAGCAAATATTTACATAGCAGTCAAAAGAAACAGAAAAAATGTCCTGTAATTTTGAGTAAAATATGAAAAGAATCTTCTTTCAGAGTAAAAATACAATTGCAGTGATTGTTTAAAATTGGTCACATCTGAAACTTTTCTGGTGAAACTGTACTGTGAAACAGTTTTGAACATAAATGACTTCTGCCTTATAGCAACACTGCATCCTCAACCTGTCACTTTCCTTAATTTTTGATACCTGCAAAGAAGTCCTTGACTATGCTAGTAGCTCATTGAAACAGTACACAAAATAAAAATAAAGAACTTCTAAATGTGACTGGTACTGCATGCTGGATGTGTGAGCACAGCACACCCTTCAGAACCAGGCTACAGTCTCAGCATCATAAAGGCTAAGAGCTAAAATCTGCCTTCAACCTACTGCTAAAATAAACCTTTGGATATTAGGAATATCACTGTTTATTACTGAAGAGTCCTTCAAGTAAGGATATAAACCCCAGTGTTTAAAACAAGAATTGCTTTTTAATTTAACTTTGAGGGTTTTTTTCTCTTTTTTTTAAGAGTATGTAATGCTCTGTATTGTTAATGGCCAAATTTCACTTGAGGGAGGAAAAACCATTAAATCTGTACATTTTAGCAGTGGTTTCTGAGTAAATCAAGGGAAGACCAGAATTCACAGAAGATCTATCTACCTGTATTTCCCCCAGTATCCTTCACATGCTCTAGTATCTACTGCAATTACCAGTTAAGAGACATGCATTGCTGGACCTAGGGAGGGAAGAGGGTCTGGAATTTGGTCATTTACAATATACTGCCTAATGCCTGTCTATAGTTGAAATGCCGTAATGTGAGTGGTGAGCCAGTTGGTCTTCTGACTAACATAAACAGCACAGTCTCCAGCCAAGAGAAGTTTGAAGGAATTCCCCCACCCACTGCCCCATCCTGCTCTATTTAGTGTGTAGTCTGGTATCACGCACAACATAGATTTTAAGTTCCGTTTAATACGTCTTGGGTGCAACCAAAAAAGTTACCTTAGTGCAAAGAGTTCTCCAATTTTCTGCATCACATCTGCATGAGAGAGTTTTACCTTCCTTCGTGACTTTAGAATCTGCAAAGTAAGAAGTTCACTTTGATCAATCACTGCTTGATCAAGTAACATGTACCAGCAGTTAAGAAGCCCAGAATTTTACAGCCTGAAGTAGGAACATGGGTTAAAATCTGAATGCATACTGTCGTTATTAACATTTTAGTTTTGTTTTCTTAGTGCCTTGGTTATCTAGCTTTCTAAGAATATCACCATGCAACTGTTCATCCAGGTTTTTCAATAAATCACTGAGTATGTTATCAGTATCTATACCAAATCCTGAAGGATTTTCTATGAATGATTTCTGAACAAGAGATCATTTGGTTTTCTTCCTACTATTGTTAAAGTCATGACAGTGTTCTTTTACTTTGTCACTAGTTAACCTTTCTGTAGACATTTTCCTTACAACTATCAACATATTACCATTTATTTCCTTCATATAAAAATAATAAACCCAATATTTTCTCTTTTGAACCCTATGAATCTCATTTTTATATGTGACATCATATAGGCTTTGTACTTTTAAGTTTCATGAAAAACTGTAGTTTCAGTAATTCACTTAAACTTTTAATTATATTCAAGTTAAAGCACCTTATTTTCAGCTTAAATTTCCACACACTGTTTGGCCAGGTTTTTTAAATGCTGTTTAAAACACGCCCTGTTTAAATGTCCTGTTACCCGTACACATTCACCAGTGGAAGGTGACAGTGACGCAACATGGGAAACATCATTACAATGCAGAACCTCACTCCCAACCTTTTAAATGATTTCTTGTCCCACCACTTTGCAGGTGTTCTGAGCTTCTCCACATTGATGGCTTTACCGCCAAATGTGTAAAGCACTCAACTGCTTTTTCCATATCCTCAGCTGTATCTGGACTGATCTTTTACAAAGCACATGAGAAAAGGAGGGGAGAGTTACGAACAAGGCCTCACCTCAGGAATTGACTGGATAGATTCCACAAAGTTATCCAATAACGATTCCCAAATAGCCAGCTTTACTGCAACACAGAGGTGACAAAGCAGAAGACTGTGAGAGGTACATATGTTTTCAAGTAATCATAACTTTAAATCTGCCAACAGGCTGCTTCAGGACACGTCGATGCTTACAAAATTATTTGCAGCAAGTTACCATCTGTATTATACAGTCAGTGTTCATATACCAATACATAAATCTGGGCTGGGCACTGACAGCTCTGCACGCAGAACCACCTTCATCTTGAGCACAGCTTTCTTCTCCAAATGATCCATTAAGATCTTGATGAATTTTGCTTCAGCTCTAAAGCTATGTGTCTTGGTGTTCTCCTGCAGGTGAGAAGCCTTTGCAAACTACATTCCAAGGAAGCTGGAGATATAAGCAGTGCCTGGGTGAGGCTGACTTCATGTGTGACTCATTCAAGAGCCTCCACTGCATTTCTAGTGTCTCATTTCAGCTCTCATTTTCCATTTGTCCAGTATTGATCCAGTGTGCTCCTACCATGGAGAGTTAGCTTGTATAGACACACCACCTGTACTTGTTAAAGCTAAATTCAAATTTAAGCAACCTCCCATTTTCTTTTTAGGTGAGTGTACTGTTTACTGGAGATGTAACTTCTCTTCTATGGAAACCTGAGTTCAGCACAGGCAATGGCAACACAAATTCTACTATGCCTCAGTTTGAGCCTGGAAAGATGTTTCTACAAGATAATGATATAACTCACGCTTTGTTCTTTAATCCACAGATTCCCAGACAAGAATGAAGTAGCAACAGATTAAAAATTAACCTTATTCGATCAGAAAAAAAGAATTACGGAAGGTTTAATTGTCAAAATGAACTCTTTCGTGGTAGTAATTGATAGTATCATCTGTTTAGGACACTAACAGTAAATCCAGTGCTTAGCATTTGCACATTCATCTTTTGAATACAGAGGCCTACTCCAAGTCATTGACTTAAAAAACTTTTAATTTAGCTTCTGAAAAAAAAAGCCAGTAAGCGTTTCAGCTATCACCTGTTATTTGACAGAGGTTGGTTTCTGCTGTGTCGTAAATTTGACTTGGGGCTATACTTGCATCCTTTTATTTTTACTGAACATTTTTATTGAACTGTTTTTCTTTATGATGTGCATGTCTCACACTAACATAAACTGGTACCAATTATCTCCTGGGAATAAATCCCTTGTTTCCTTTTATGTGGCACTATTCTCCCATACAGTGGCTTTATGAATAGGAAAACTACAGAGAACAATAGGCGTTTTTTCTCAACAGCTCTTCCTTCGACAGTCAAAAACCATTTAGTTACACTGTACTCCTTGATCAAATGCTGCAGCACCTCAAAAACATGCCTTCTGTTTCTTGATGTCTCTCCTGTGTAAAGGGGCACTTCCCTAAATATTACTGGAATCCTATAATTTACCCTACAGGCAATAGGGGTAGACAGATCAGACTATCTTTGAAGGCCTTTCCAAGGACAGCCTTACCGCTGCTAGCTTCTACTCCCACTTCATCATTCAAGGTCTGAAGCAAAAGAGAGGTGTTATTTTCATAAGCAGCAGCACCACTGCTGAGTCTAACTTCTTTGCAGTGCCTCCCACTGTCTCCTACCATGGCTAATAAGCCTGGAAAATATTTTCTGTGACTCTGGTCCACACATCTGTTACTGGTACACCTCCCCAACTGGGAATCGCTGCTCCACATCACTTCTTTAGCTGGCATCTAGCCTTTTCTGTCAGAGGAAATGATGGCAAGATGAATTATGCAATATTACTGAGAGGTTTCTAATAATGGCCTCTATACTCATTGTTATTCAGGGATACTTCTCAAGGGTGGGGAACAGGATGCTCAGAATAATGTGTATCTTTTGCAAAGTATGTTTATTAATGTGCTTTGTTCATCTTTTAAACGAGTTATATTGAATAAGGCAATTCCAATTTTTAGAAAACACGGTAAGTACATTAAAAACATCCTCTCACTGAAGAACACTCTTTACACATCTTGCCTAAACCAGGCACCAAGTCGTCTCCAACCTGTTGCTGTACAATGACATTTCACAAAATGTGTAGCATAGGGCTGATAGTATGAACAATATTAACTTACCAGAAAGACAAAGAGCATTTGAAAAGGCAAATTTCTGCAGAACAACTTCATCACTATCCAGCTCAGAATTTAAAAGGATTTGTCCTTTATGGAGCTTTGACTGACCTCTGTTAAAACAAGATTGAAGCATCTTCATTGACTAAGCCACCAGCAGAGGAACATTTAAAGAATAATCAAGAATGCAAGAGAGGTTTGGTTGTTTATTTATATAAAGCACACGGTATCTGTATGGCTATCATCCCCATCCTTGTGTTTCCCTCACATTCAATCTGACAATAACCAAAACAAATCACTGAAAATTAGTTCCTCAGTCTAAGACTACTATTATGACCAAATTTTCTAGGTCTAAATGAAAGCGCAACAAGCTGTGATGGTAACTACAGCACTACTACGAACACACAGAAAATTCAGAGTAAGCAGGATGCTGGCCTCTCTCCTGCTCTCTAGCTCCTCTGTTACCTTTCTGTTTGTTTTCCTTTTCTGCTGTCACTCTTACCAACCTCACTCCATCCCCACTATGGTGTTACTTTCCCTGAAACCTCTATTGCATAAGGGGCAAGTGACAAAGAAAAGGAGGAATAAGACTCATTCAATTTTTCATGTCAATCCCACTATGAAACTTGCATAAGCACAATGGAATATGTCCAGAATCACAAATTACATAACCAGATAGTACATGCAGTTTTCAAATGGCCAGAAAAAACCCAAACACTTGTCTCCTTATCAGGTTACCTTAAATAAGCTCAACCTCATTAGTTCAGTCCCTAGTGTTAACGGTGTCCTGTCTAGGAGTGGCTTTCTGGTGGCATCAGTGTTGGAAAATTACAGATAATTTATATAATCATTTTCATTGAGAAATATTTCTGTAGAGATAATTTTCTCCCTGGGATGAAAAAAAACATTTAACGAGGAATGACAACTTGCCAGGTTTATCATTACACAATATTCAAGTTGTAACTTTCCTAGGAAGTAAAGTATGTGCAGAATTACATCCTTGTATATGAACCTCAAGAGCAATAGGGAAAGCTTATACAGAGCATCCTCTTTAAAATCAGACTTGTCTCAATAATGCTTATTAGTTTCTTTTCCCATGAGGTACCTAATTCCTGTTCAGGATTGCTGAAGAACATGTTCAGTTATGTGGGCACAGAGCTTCTTAATTTATAAAATCTATAGCATAAGCAAATCACAAAGGCCACTACTTGCAAGTTTAACAGTACAGCTAAATTTGTCAATTTAGATTTACTGTTTTCTTCTTTCCTTATTTTACTCATTCAAAAAAAGTGTAACGACAAGTATATTTTTAGTAGCTTTTCCTTGAATTTGGTTAAAGTGCCTATTAACTTTTATATACCGAGTGCCTGAAGATACTTACTCCCCTATTCTGTAGTTCATTTCTTCATTCTCCCAGTGGACGAGTGCAACTTCATATGGCTGAATTTCATGCTGTTCTAGCACTCGCATGATATTCTTCATCTAAGAAAAAGACAATTGCAGCAAGAGTTACCACACAGTACACTATGACTCTGCAAAGACCTTGCATATAGCAGGCTGGTAATTGCAACCTTCATGCTGAAGTTATTTAAATAACAATGAAGAGGTGTGCTAAACAATGAAGTTATTAACATAGTTTACTTCTGAAACTATTTGTAGCTTCAGAAGAATTTGTGGCTATGAACAACTGAAAGGAATCTGAGAAGACTAAAATGTCATTTAATGTCTGCACACATGAAATACGGTAAGGATTAACTACAGCAGCAGTAAGGACAATGCAGATGTATCCAGCATTATAACAATGAACTGTACAAGACTTTGGCAGATGTCTGAGTGTGGGATGAAAATCTTCAGGATAAGTATATCAGGTGGTTGTTTCGGATTAAATTACTAGTTTGCTGCTAAATCAATAGTTTTATTTCTGGTTGCTGATGAAATCAGTAGTTTTGTTTCAGCTTCCAGAGGTTGGGTGGTATTACAGAAATCCTTTAACACTACAAAAATCTGGAAAAATTGATTCAGCTGCCACATTCAACCTTGTAAACAGTTAAATGTGCAATTTTAGTCACAGAAGTAATCTCACTGCTCTCTTATTCTCCAGCACACTAAAACCTGATGCAGGAAGAAAGAAGCCTTTTCTCTCACAAAACGTTCTCCTCTGACATCTGACTTAGGATCTCTCATCCTTGTTCCTTTTAATGTGGTACAAGGTTCCCCTCATAAAAATCATCTGCAATTAGAACAAATTTTGAACTAAAAAGAGCACTTACCTACAAGTTTTTAAAAGGCATTTAGCTACACAACAGCTAACAAAAAATCCAAACCACAAAACCACAGTACACTTTTGATGCCTAAATTCTTTCAAGAGTTCCATCTTCTACTAAGTCATACTTAAGAAACACTCTTCTTCAAAATAAAAGATAACAGTCAATCTTTCAGCACAAAACTGTACACTAGAAAATTTTTCATGAAGCATATTCCCAGGTTCGGTACTGTAAAATGATCAATTGGATTACCTGCAAGAGGGATATTCTTTGCAGCGCTAGCTTTCTTCATCGCTTTCAATGACTTTAGTGATACTATCTATCTACGTAAGACACAGTAACATTTTTCACTGAATTAAAACCCTCAACCCCACAGCTACAACTCCTTGTTTCATAATCCTGAATTTAATATTAGCATAACTAGTACTCGCCATATAACTCAAGTCCTGTGGTAAAAAAGCGTATGAAAACTTATGTTCATTTTTCTTAAGCAAGGAAGTGTCTGCTGTTACACCAGTTACCTCAGCCAACCAGCTGTGTCCAGGGAAAGTTCAGCAATGCAAACCCCACACTGCTTCTAGGCCCAGTCTAATTTTATAGAAGGGACTAGCTATGACACGGTAAAATTAATCAGACGAGATGTTCTTGATTCACTAGATTCAAACTCCTGCTATTATGGGCGCTTAGGTCATACAATTTCCTTTTAAAAAAACCTCAAAGCTGGTTTTGCTTTTTGCCCTTGCTATTTTAGTAGAGGAGCTGTTGTACAACCTTCCTATTCAGGTATTTGAAAACGGTATTTTATATTTTAAATTTCTTTCTGTGATTAGTCTGTATTAGTTACTTCTCCTGGAAAGTGTTTGTTAGTTTCAAATAGTTTTTCTTCTCCTACTAGTCATTCTGGAGTACTCTGAAAAGCCATTTTGTCCATTCGCAGTGATACTCTACACTTTGTTTTACTGAATTACTTTCAGTTTCTGTTCCACAGACCAGTTTGGGGCTTTTTCCTTTCCTTTCATTTCATTAAAACGTGTGCATAAAATTACTTCCTCTATTTGAGCAAGTTGTTTGGCAGTTAAAACTTTGACTGTGATTTCACAAAGCATAAAAAATAAAGCTAGCATGGGACCAACTACAGTTACTAGTACTGACAAGTAAAACACAGTAGCAACTTTTCAAAGGTACTCAAGCATGTACAACAAAATGAGAGTTTTCAGAGTACTCCAGTGGGCTGAAGTGTCCAACTCGAAGATCATCATGAGTTAAGTCAGCTAGTAATACCTGAGAATCAGCAGCGTAGTTACAACCATAGCATCCTAAGTGTGCTACAGGGAGAACTACTATCTTTTTGTGGGACATCTGATACACTGACACCCCTTAAAACAGACAGGAAATCAGGAATATTTCAGGTCTGAAACAGAAAAAGTGAACTTGAATCCAGAAACTGTTCACGTCTGGAAACAACTGCCATGTATTTTCATTTACTGTAATGAAAATCCTTCTGTGAACTTCTGTGTATCTCAGTATCATCTACTGAATACGCCATTTAATTTCACATACTCTGCCTACAGATAAGATCAATACTTTTTGTATCTAGAATCCAGTTTTACTTAACAACAGTAATAAAAATACATTAAAAATATTAAATTTCTATAAATGTAGTCATTAAAATAGATATGCTTCTGGCATACCCTTCTTGGTCAGCATGCTGAGGTTTGTGGGACTGACAAAAATACCTGCTTATGCAGTTTTAACAAACAGTTTTGATTTACTTACACTTTTCTCTTCCACATTCCAAAACACAACAGCCCCTTCCCTGTGAATTCAAGGAAAAACTGAGGTGTAATCATACTGTTTTAAATGCATTTTAATGCAATAATCAAATTGTACAGTGGCAATTTCTGTCACTGTTAATCAAGAAACTTAATACTATTTTCACAGAAACTATGTAATAGTTGCTTTTTAACCATACTTTAATGAAAAAACATAAGAAGGTATTTTTTAACCATTTAAATAATTTGATTTCTTTTTAAAATCATCCTGACTGGACAGTTATTCCTTGAGTTTCATCTAGCAAGCTGCACTACTTCCTTCACACCATTACTATTAATAACATAATGTTTTGAACACAATTTATAGTTTACCTGAAGAAAAAAATCATGCCAGGATCGTATTCTTTTGCAGATTTCTCAGTACGGACCACCAAAACATTTGCAGCATCTGGTTTGAAATAAATGAAAAAAATGAACTAATAGTCAAACTTCTAACTTTGATAGCTTATCATTCAACAATTACATTAGTCAGTCTCATTTTATTTTTCTGATGGAAATGCTTGCAAGGAAACAACTACAATATCAAACTACACTGTGTTTATGAACTGTCACACTCTAGACAGACTCAGCCTTTATTGTGAACTTCACTGGAATGTTCAGTTAATGAAATGTAACACCTTCAAAGAACAAAAGACTTAGGAGAAAACTGATGCAAGCGTAATAAATAACCAGGAACAGAATACAGAAGTGGACATACAACGTGAGAGAACTATGGAAGTTGCCCACAGCTGCAAGGAAATTACCATTCAAATCTGCTTGCCCAGAAGATCTTTCTCTTCTCTACACACTGATGGACTAATCTGCACTCAAATTCTGCTGACCTTGCTTTGCCAGTCAGAAACTTGAAAGAGCGTATCCCCAAGACAGAAGAGTGTGCACCTGCATTTCCCTTCAGATCAGAAGTGTTCTTTTGAAACACATCTTCCATCCACCCTCCTTTACCACACTTCTGATGTGCACTGCAGAATAGTATACAAAATGCAGGGTTTTTTGCATCAAATTAAACTGAAGGAGGAGCTCCAAAAAAATGCCCCTATAGTACTCCAACCATTAATAAGGCATTTGTTACAAAGGACTAGACTAGACCTAATGCAAGTAGAGTGCCCCAAACTTAAAAAATGTGGATGCTGGGTTCTCAAAACAAGGTTTTGGTTTTTCTTCTCCTACAAGTCTTCTCCACTGTAGTACTTGCTAATATGGATAAAGTTTTAGAAGTCCTGATGTGGTTCCAAACAAAAAAGTTTACTTTCCAGCATGACTCATTTTGTTGCAGGGCTAGTGGAAGCTAGACCAGAAAAACCTCCTACTACTATAGTAAAGCAAGACTCCCCAAAGACTTTGCAGGGCCTAACACTTAAGCTTTAGAAAGTTAAACCCATTTGCAGGAAGATCCCAGGTCAAGTGACAAGGCATCAAATTCTGGCTGTGTACAAATTCCACCTTCTGCTTTACTGGTCAAGCCACAGAGGCCAGGTAAACTAAGGCAGCACAGTGACTGAGTATCAGAGATACTTTTTCTAATATCTGAATTGAGACCACAGGGTTGATCTGAGCCCTTTAAAGACTCTTCTTCCACTTGCTAGTCCAGTTCAGAAACATGTAATTGGATGAAACACTAGAGCAAGTTTTAGGTGTGAGGTATGATATCACTGTGGAAGTAATATTTGCCTACAATTTCTCATTTGCCTTTTTAAATACAATCCATATCTTTATTTACCCACTACAGCCAAAACATACACAATTGAAGAGAATTTGGTCCACTTTTAGTGAAAGTACAGGATCTGCCTCTAAAATGTTTTTAAAGAAGTCAAAACCGAGCATAATGCTTAGAAAAAACACTACAAAATAACAAATCCACACAATAATTGCTGATTTAGATTTCTATGTGCTAATATTTTTTTTCTTTTCTAAGATTCAATGTTTGGCTTGGTAACCAAACTGCTACATGCACACGCCAACAATCACAACACTTCAGATCTGCTGGCACAATCTAACATACTTTCATCATTACTTCCTCCAAACCTTTGATAAAGAGTACTTATTGTGAGGAGTCAAAAACACTGTCAAGTAATGAAAGAACCGGCAAAACTCACACTCCAGGGCAAAATACCATCCACAGTAACTTTTAATTCACAGTTACACTGGGGGTTGTACAAAGTTTCTACCCTAAAGCTGTGAAACCAGGGTTGGTTCTAACACAAAGAAACTAAAACGCACATGAAGCCTATATTCTAGTCTTGTCTTTCACATTCATCTTTCTGAACAAGACAATCACTAGTAAATCACACGTTTGAAAGAGACTTACTGGAGTATTATTGCACTTAGACTACTGTTTGGGATGCAGACAGGTATTTGACAACCCCTATCGAAATGCCCATAAACTGTCTGTCCTTCCCTTAGCTTCATATAATCTGTCCTTTCAAAGAAAAAAAAAGGCATTCTACTGCCAACATATGAAAATCACAGCTGTTCCAGGGCATAAGATTCTTTAAGCTATAAAAAGCTCCATTTGTTTTTTTCCTGTAATATACTTTGGCTATTTCCAGGCCATACTTTCCCCAAGGCTTCAGAGATACTTTATATGGAAACCAGACCAATTATTTTGCTGAAGCCTACCCAAGTGAAGCATTCAACATTTGCTATGATATACTCAGCCCAATAAAGAAACCCTATCAACAGCATTCTCTTTACTAGAGTTAAGGATTTATGTGTTTATCTTTTTCATTTCACTTAGTCAGCAAGATTCTCTCTTGCATGCCTTCCTCTCTGACCCTCAGTGATTTACATTAATAGAAATGTGAATATGGAACTAAGATGGAACACTTCAAACTACAAAATTCTTTTGACAGCTGAAGCACTGCACTATCTCACTACTGAAAGATTAATTAAAATAAAACATTCAGAATTTTCTCAATTAGTGAATTTCTATAGAAATTCTCTGTATCAGTACATTTCCAAAGTTATTTCTCATGCATGCATGTAATTTTTCAATACTTCTAGTGTAATTGTAATGTTGGGAAAAATTATCAGAGAGTAACAGCAAATACTGGTCATACTGCTATTCTGAAAGGTTTAGGCACATGGAATCTTTAAGCAAAGCAGTATTTTTACAGGCAGTATGATATATTCCATGGTATTACCAGAACAAGAATACATAAAGTTATAAAAATTATATACCTCACCCATATTTTATTTCCCAAGGTATATCATTGCTTTTAATATGTTTCAAAGATCTACCTCTAGGCAAACTTGTTATTTCAACATATCCATGTGAAGTCAGGTCATGACACAGATTACCAAGATGATATTCATCTGCTGTTGCAAAGGCTGTGCACTGCATCAGATTCTGTGCCAAAGGAAGAAAGATTTGAGTTAGGGCAAGGCTGAAGCAAGATGTTAATAAGAAAACTGTTTGCCTCAAATTTATTCAGAGAGTGACAATTTTCATTTATGCACTCTTTTCTACGTTATCATTGCCATGCTGTCCACCTGATGTACAAATACTAACAAGATTACTTGCTCCTTGTTGAGCGGGAAAGCAAATCATACACCGAGAACAATCCAGGTGATATGAGTTAAGTCGCACCAAAAATCTTTGTGACAGAGCCACAAAGAGAACTCTTCTTCCCTGAATGCCAATCAAATGCTTTAACAGTAGAGCTGCACTTGCTACTGCTCTTCCATCTTCTTATGACATGCTTGGCTGACCACTGAAACCAGAGGCAAGACACCCCCAATACCAGTTTTAACATCTGTGTTTTTAAGATAAATGGAGTTCAACTATCCCAATCTGCTTATCAGGCACAAAGTTGTTCCAAGCACAAACATGTTCCACAACACACCAAGCTCACTGCTCAGGTGCTCCCAGGGTATGAGCCACTATGCAGAGAAAGTCACTGATCTTCCAAGGCCAGCTGTAGGTGCTGCTCCTCTGCCGTGTCCCTCCTCCTGCCCCCAGCTGAATCCTGCACTAACAACATGCTTTCAACTGACACCACAGCTGAACAATACATGACAGCCAGTTTGTCTCCATATTCCACAATCTTAAATAACTAAAATGCCATATTCAAACAAATAACTGGAAAAATGATGCTGACTTGCAAAGTGACTTGACTTTAGGCATGGCAAAGAAATCAGAAAACCATCTGCATAAAGACTTTCTTGATCAATCAAACAAGTCACATTAACCTGATTTGCAAATTCTATTACTTATTTTAAGTGTATTTCTTTGTTCTGATACAATGTATGTCCTACAATAATGTTTTTCAGTACAATGTAGTGGAAGATGTCCAGAAAGTAATGTCTCATTGTGGATCAGTCACTTCCCAGCTTTTTGTAACAAATACGAATGGGGATGTAACTAACAACAAATGAACAAAAGAACTGTACTCATCTGCAGGCATTTAGACCCATAATACACTTCAACTTAAAATCCAAATTACATTCTTGCAGCACTCATACACAAACAGCAAGGCTTACAGAGGTGTTCTGATCCCTGCAGGGTGTCCATTGCCAGTCATCAGATTCACAACCACACATGTGAACTTCTTTTTAATGTCAACGTTCTGCTATCACGTCCAAAGCTTTGCTTATACATCGCCTTAATTCAGCAACTACTAACAGAAAATAAGCTTTAAATGTAATAACAATATTCAGAGAGCAATTTTGTAGGCATATTCCCACAAGTGTGCTACAAGGCTGAGTTAACAGTGGAACAGACCTGCATTTTCAGTTCCCTTGCAGCATCAAGTTGCATTATCACAATTTCATCTGTATAATCCATTCTCAATCTCTAAATTACCAATACCAGTTATGTATCTGAATCTGAAGATTCTTCCAGAAAGCTCTGATGATTAGAAGTACATGTGCTCTGCCACGAAACTCTTCTGTCAAGAGCTAAAGGAGCAAACTCTCATCTTCTAGTTAGCATATAATCTGAAAATCTGTCCTTCTCTATCCTTCCATAGTTTATTACTTGTGCTATTCTTCGTTTCAAGGTAAATGCACTACAGAATCGACTTCGTCTTAGTGCTGCAATTTTAGTTCCAATGCAAAGATTTCACATTTAGTTAGAACCAGAAATTTTCTGCTAAGCTATATGCCTGAAATAGCATTTTGGATATGAACCAGTTTACTTGGGGGTTTTTTGTTTGTTTTTTTTGTTGGTTTTGTTTGTTTTGGTTTTTCGTTACAATGTACCGTTTCACTTACATTTCTATTAAAATCTTGCTTGATGGAGAACATTTGGATTGGGTATAATTTGAAATTAAGCCACCTAATAGATGTGTCCACAGGTGCTCCGAATGTCTAAATTCCCATAACTGTTGGTGAGATACAGCCAAAAAATCTACTCTAATCAGTGACTCAGCTAATCCTAAAATTGACAAGTCAACTGGCTGATCAACCTTTACGCCATGCTTTCAGCTACGTCACTGTCACGTGCAAACTTAAAACTCCCCAGAATGTAGCCCTTGTACTGGCTCTAGAAAGAAATTCCAGCTCCTCACCACCCTCCTTCTTTCTGCCTACAGCTGGGGCATTATTAAGATTCTACTCAGTGCACCATACAGGATGGCTGCTCCTAAGGACAGCTAAGTATCTTGACAACTTAGGTTCTGTATCATCATGCCTCCAACAACTGTACAGGCTCATGGAATCCTAACTCTCCTTAGTCCGTCTGTTCCACTTTAAGCATGCAAAAATTTTTAAGAAAAAACCAAACTGTAGGATGAACTTTAGTCCTCGTATTGCCATAGGAATCAGTCTTTATCTAAAGTGTAGTAAGTATAACATCTTTGCCTGATTTTCAAGCTATTTTTATGCTATATGGCTATAGCATTAAAAATTAGCTCAGAGGCTTTTCATGCCACCAGACCTTACAGATTAACTAAGTAGTGGTACTGCTCACTGATGGACTGACTAAACCAGTTAACTGCTTTCAAGTAACTCCTCCATCTATCCTGAAAAACTGGTTGTACAACCAGTTTATCACTGCTGGTACTAAGCACTCTGCCTGTAAAAACACAGGAAGACTAGTGCTGGGGAGGGGTGGGAAGGACATCATTTTCTGCAAAAGAAAAGTGTCAACTGTCAGGCCCTCCCAGACAGAAAACACCAGGGATCCCTGGGGTTCCTCTAACCAAGAACCTCGGGAGTGGGCCTACAACTACTGTCTCCAGAGGCAGGCTAGGAAGGAGAAGATGCCCCCAGACAACTGCTCTGACAATAGGGCCTGCAATACTAGAGGGCTCGTGCACAGAAGGTAAGATCAGCATTTTTTGTGGCACCAGGATTTAAAAAAAACAGATGGCATGCTGAAAAAAAAACCTTCAAAGATTCTCCATTTGTGCTACTTTTATTAATCTCATAGAAGTCATCCACATCTATAAGTTATTTCTCTATACTACACAGCTCTAAGAAATACACAGGTAAAAAAAAAAATCCTGATTCCAAAATACTGTCAGTCTGCAGTCAACATGATAGCTTGTCTGTACCTCTGCAGACAAGGATATATATCTCACAAACCCACGTGGGATTTAATAAAAGACAGCAAATGTTTCTGCTAGGTCTGAGTTTATGTGATTTCTGGCCCAGCATTTTGCCGTGTGGAAACTTCCTCAGAAACTATATTATTATTTCAATATATCAGGATGTATTTTCTTCACGTCTTCACAATGGAAGAAAGTAAATAGAGCACTGCATGTTACTTACATATAAATATAAAAATGTCAAAGAAAGTTGGCATTCTGTCAAACTGTTTGCATTCTATGCTGTCATTTAAAGCCTCAAAAATGTTGTCACTTCACCCAAAACCAAAAAGAGTCAAACTCCGAATGTAATGTCATAGCAGGACTAAAAAGCTGGAAACATTACATGGTATTTCAGGACTAATATTCTTCACTTTCCTCTTTCAAAGCAACATGGAAATACGAGTGGGAACTAAATTGACTATGACTCTTTACACAAAGGCACACTCCTGCTCATCACACAAAATACTAAGCAGAAGCTTAGACGATAAGGTAAGCATTAAAACTTCTCTGTGCATCATGTTCAGTAGATCATGTAATAGACATATTTTGCAGTGTGTAAACTATTTCTGAAGGTACAATGCTTATTTCAGTCTCATCTATCATACTATATTACTAACAATATCCAGTTGTTGCTGTAGCTTGAGAACAGTAACACTTCTGACACCAGGATTCACTGTGGAAATCCTATATACAAGTATACTTAATGCCTGCCTTGGCTAACAACTATCTTAAGGAGATACAGCTACAAGTATGCACTGTTTCACTTCATCATATCTCACTTTATCTAAATCAGTTTGTTGTTGCAGTTCCTCTGCAACAGACCTAGGAGTCTGGATATTAAAGAGCTATTTCTACACATGGAATAATCTTTCTCAAGTAACACAGGCTACATTTGCACATCCATTTCCTATCTGAAACTTAATCTGAATATAAACCTTATACTTTTTACCTTCACCTTTACTTCTGTTTGAGTGAAGCCTTAAAACTGGGTAGATTTGGACAAGCAAGGATATGTAGGGCATCATTCTGATAGCTCAATATTAAATGTGATATGACAGCACTGGTCGATACTATTTTTAATGGACTTCACCTTTCCACTTATCTTCCTTCCACTTTTGTTTACACATTGTTAGTAAACTTCCATTTTACCTTCAGAATACCAGACACACTAATTTCTATCAAGCTTGCTTCTGTTTGCAGAGCTCCCACATTAGGGTAAATAATGAAATCCTTCTCACCAAATAAATATATTAATTTCATTAAAATGTTAATCTAAACCTTAATCTGAATATAAGTTAAAATTTCATGCACTCCCTTAATGCCATATAGACTGTAAATGTTATACATTACCTCCATGTCTGAGAGAGGTAGGTTCGTTCTGGATGGCTGCTTGGTCCTCGGTGCCTTTGGTGGCCTCTTGACTGGCTGGTTATTGTGTTTTGGAATAATTTTACCAGGTGATACAACTGCATAAAATCTTGATGATGTGTTCCTGCGCTTTTTGATATGTTCTGTATTGAGCCTGAAGTTTTGCATCATCATCACACCCAACCATCTCCAGGAGGGAAAAAACCCCTCCCCACCCTGATAATAAACACTTCTTCCTGAAGTGGATACATATCCTTGGAGCAATTGCCAATTCTTGACTTGCACACATCGACTTGTCAACCAAGGGAATGCAGTTTTCAGAGCATAAAAATTCCAAGACTTTGCTGTTCTCTGAGCTGTTCTGTCAACTTCATTATCCAGCTTTAATAGCAGACATCCAGTTTTATTAAAGTTTTGGCATTGACATATTGTTGTTAAAGCATGGAAAGATCTAGTCTGGAGGCGCAGATGTTTCAGTCTCATTTCTTCCCTCTGAACTGTATGTAAAACAAAGAAACAAAATCATCCATCAACATTTTGGAAAGAAAGAATATTATTTCTCTCTTATCTAAAAGGTGACCCATACTACTTTTGCATGTGTTAGGATGCCTAAGCACATGACATTGGTGGGAATAAATAGCTTTTTTCGATCCTATGGAAATCGTCTAAGATCAAAACACACTAGAACTGGTTGCTATGTCAATATGAAAGCAGGCATCTGTTCCTTCTGCTGCTCATTCTGTGCAGCAGCTTACACTCTCAGTAACTCCACTGCTCACCGAGCAAGCAAACACACACCTTAAAGAGGACATCAGACTCTGTGAATCATTGTGTTATACATAAAAACCCAACAATTTAGATTACTACGTGGCTGTATGGGAATGGCACCTACAGAATACACACACTGCTCAGCATCAGCTCAGACTGCTGTGCCAAAAACAGCTCAGCACAGATCCAGCCCCTGTCATGTGTCCTGACCACAGTGAGAACGGAGCCGAGTTACAGCCTTGCTGCTGCCAGTACATCCTAACGCAACAGTTACCACCGAGCCTGCCTGCAGACCCACCAGTGCAGGTGGAAACACAACAGTGTCCTTATTCTGGTTATTTCAGACCAGCAAGCTTAGTGTATCTACTCTATGTCATGAGAGCTAATCAAATAAACTTTAAAAGTATTCACAGACAGTAGGTTGAATACCCCAGTGGGTGTGTTTCATTTGCTGAAAAATCCTATGTCAAGTCCCTTCCCACATCTGATTTTCCTAATTTCCCTTATGACATAAAATCTGTCTTCAGTAAATTATTAACAAAAAGTCATTAAGTTGTATAGCTCAAAAACCCTGCTGTCAGAATATTTTTCAAAAAGGAGTATCTCAAATACCACAAATATGCTTAACATAATATTAAACACAAGTATTTTCTTGTGAGAAAAATCATGGTGTGTGCCGTGGAACAAGCCCTCTGCCCTGACAAGGATACCTGGATGTTAGCACAATACACACACAAAAAACCTCACCAAACCACACTCTGACATAACTTAATGGAAGGGGAATACACTAATTCTGGTGAAGGAGGTATACAATTAAAAATAACTAACTAAATAAAAAGGATGTAGAACACTTCTAGGCTGCCACAGAATAAGTAACTGATCTTGGGCATAAATTCTTATCTTTATATGCTCTTCACTTATACATTTCTGCCCAATTTAAAGCTTGTTATTGGCACACTTACTGGAATAAATCTAGTATTGTTTTAATTTTAAACTTTTTCTGTATTTATAAAACAACCCAGAAGACTCTGCCCAGAACAAGGCATGTTTACCTTTTAAAAGGCTTATTACCTCTGGATAATCAAAAGAGCTGAAAAAAACCTCAGCAACTGCAGCCCAAGCCAGTGGAGAGCCAAGGCTAGGGGAAAAGTCTCCAGCACTGTGGGGTAACTGGCAGAAAAAGACTCACAAATGCCAAGTAAATCCTCACTTTCCTAGGCAAAAAACCTCATCCCGAATCAGTGATTCCAAGGATCATTTTTCAAGTGTACAGCTTTAGAGCAGGTTACAAGGAAAGAGAGATCATATGGGCTGAATTCCATCGAGGGGTCTGAGCGTCAGGCCTGTGGCAGCAGAGGCAGCCAGCCAGAATGAGCGGAATAGAGCAATCCAAGAAAAGCGGGATGAAGGACGACCAGAACAGGATAGGAGGTGCCACCCCCGAGCAGCGGGCACAGAAGTGGGATTAATTTTCCAACGTCTCTTCAGGCACGGCACGGTTTAGCCATGCCCGCTGCCTTCCCAGCCGGAGGCCCAGCCCGCTGCGGCGGCGGCTGCGACCTGCACGGGGAGGGCGGGCCCGCTCCGCCCGCGGACGGGCCCGACCGGCAAAGACCGGCTCCGCCCGGCCCCCGCAGCCTGGATGCCCCTAAACTGCCCCCGGGGCCCGCCAGCAGCCGGTGCTGGGACACCCCACCCCTTCCCAGCCTCCGCATTCCCGCTCCTTTCCCCGAAGGAAACTGCCTCGGGAGCGCCCCTGAAGCACGCGCGAGTTGGAGGGGAGGGAGCACGGGAGAGGCGAGCGCTCCGCTTCCATTGGCTGCCGGTGGCGGGGGGGCGGGCACAGTGGGGGATCAAGCGGCCAATCGGGAGGCGAGGCCACTCCGCCCCCGCAAGCAACGCGAGTCCCCGGCCCCGTGCAGCTCGCGGGCGCCCCCGGCGGGCGCGCGAGCTATCGCCGCCAGCGCGCGCGCGCCCCCGCGCAAATGGGCCCGCTGCCCTCCCCCCGCCCCGGTCGGCAACGCGCGGCCGCCGCCGCTGCTACGTCACCACCGATCGGCGCCCCCCGGAGCCGGGGGGAGCCGGGGGGAGCCGGGGGCACCACCCAGCAGCCGCCCCGCAACGGCCGCGGCGGGGGCAGCCTGAAGCTGGGGGCGGTTCGAGGCAAGAAATCGCCCTTCGCCCGCAGGCAGGGCTCGTGCTCGCCCAAAACTGCCCCCTCCTCGCGGGGAGCCTCGCGGTGCTCTCCCGCCTGCCGCAGGATCGGATCCTGCGGGAAGGGCGGCCGAGGCGGCCCGGGCTCGCCCGCACCCCCTTCGTGGGTGCTGCAGAAGCCCCGCTGCCCTGGGGGCGTCTCAGGAGGAGCTGCACAGCCCCTCCTGCCCCAGCGCGGGCTCCCGCCGCAGCCCCGACCGTGGCGCAGGGCCGCCAAAGGCACCCGCAGCGCCGCCGGCCCGGCCCGGCCCTGCCCTCCTTCCCCTCCCCCGCCCCGCGCGCGCTCCCGCCGCCGCCGCCGCGGGAGGGGCGAGGCGGTTCCCGCCGCCGCCGCGCGCCAGCACTGACCTGGGGGAGGGGGCGCGCCGCTCTCCGCCGCGCGAGCCGCGGCCCCGCCCACCGCCCGCCGGGCCTCGCCAGCGCGCGCCGCCCGACACGCCCCGCCCGTCCGTCGCCGCGCGGCGGGGCGCGGCCCGCGCGCCAGGAACGTCCGGCTGCCGCGCTCCCCGCTTCCGGGGGGGCGGGGCGGGGGGCGGGGAGCTGGCGAGCGGGGGGGTGGAGCAAGATGGCGGCGGCGGTGCCGGCACTCCCCGTGTCCCTGTCGGGCAGGTTCAAGGGGTCCGTCACGGCAGCGGGGCGGGGGGCGGAAGGGAGCCGAGGGACCGGTCGGCGCCCCGCGGCCGGTGAGGCGCCGGGCGGGGCCGGGGGGCGGGTCTTGGCCCGGCGGGGCGGGCGGGGGCCGCAGTGCCGGCAGGCGGCGCTGTGGCCGCGATGCTGCCGCAGGGAGCGCCCGGAACGGGCCGAGGGCTGGTGTGGAAGCGTCGCTGTGCTCCTGATGTCGCTGTTCGGCCCTGGGACCCCGACTCGCCGGGTGGAAATCCTGCAATAAAAATAACTCTCCGGGCCGTGTTGGCGCTCTCTGTAGGGCTGGTTACGTTCTGCTCGTTGTCCTCCTCAAACATAAACGGGGTTTCGGGGAAATGTAAATGAAGTGTGTATTGCAGAGTGCGTGAGTGTGGATTTTCGTGTCGGTAGGAGATACATGTTAAACTTTTAACATGTCTCTATCCTTTTAATTTGATCTTTCCCTGACTGCATCAGGGCAACTGAACAATTAAAGAACACGTTTTAGCACTGAATTAGCTGCAATTTTTCTCTGTTTTGGCAGGACAAATAATTTAGCATTTTCTTCCTTGAAAAGACTGCTGTTTTTCTTTAAAAGCAGACCTAAGAACCTGACCCATTTGAGGGGTTTTATTACTGTTACTACTGTCCACTGCTTTAGAGGCACATAAAGTTACTTTTAAGACTGTTGTGTTTTAACCCCAGCTGGCAGTCAAGGACAACACAGCTGCCCTCTTACTCAGCCCCTAGTAGGGTGGAGGGGGACAGAATGGGAAGGGTAAAAGTGAGAATACTTGTGGGGTGAGATAAGAACAGTTTAATAATTGAAATAATGTTACATTATAATGGAAAGAAAAAGAACAAAGAGAACCTAAGAAAAACAAATGAAGCCAATGAAAACAGTTGATCACCACCAGCTGACTGATGCCCAGCCAGTACCCAGGCAGTGACCCCCCAGCCAACTTTTCCTCCTGGTTTCCACTGCTCAACATGACACCATATGGTATGGGGTATCCCTTGGGTCAGTTGGGGTCAGCTGTCCCAACTCTGTCCCCTTCCAGCTCCTTGTGCACCCCCAGCCTGCTCGCTGGTAAGATGGTGTGCTAGTAGGAAAGACAGAGAAGGCCTTGACTCTGGGTAAGCCGAACTCAGCAGTATTGAAAACATCCCTGTGTTATCAACACTGCCTCCAACACAACTCAAAACACAGCCCCAAACCAGCTACTGTGAAGAAAATTAACTCTACCCTAGCCCAAACCAGCACAAAGACCTTGCATTTGTTTTTACAAAGGGAAGCTCTTTCATCATTTGCTGTCAATAATAAAAATTTGTTCCTCTCCCTTTTAGATCCTTTGCATATTTTACAATTAAAGACAGACTGCCACAGATCCTCACAAGAGTTATTGATACTCTGCATCGACATAAAAATGAATTTTTTGAAGAACATGGTGAGGTAAGAGTAAGGTCTCTTTTCTTCCCTGATGTTTTTCCTCCCTAACCCTTGAGACCCCTTCTCTGCCTTGTTTTTACTGGTTTCTTACTACAATTGTTACTTGTCTGTCTCAATCTTTTTGTCTGTTTGTTTTTTTAAAAATCATCTCTTTCTTGTAACTGTTTTTGATTAGTTCTGTAATTCACTTCTCTGTCTAACCTTTTTGTGGTCTGTCGTTTCTGCAACTGCTGCACTTCCTTGGGTTTTTGTGTTGATGCAGTGTTTGATAGACCGTAGCACTTTCTGTGTTTCAATACTTTCTTCCTCTCTAATAAGAAAAAAGTCCAATCTAAAAAGAAGTTCCATATGCAATTCGTTTTAGGATGTTAAGTCTAAAATGAGCTTTATTCACCAAAATATGTTTTGTTGAATCAAGCTATGATTTGTTAGGGACTTGCCTTTGGCAATTAAAACTTACCACTTACATAATTAGTGAAAAGTTGATCTGTGTCTCTACAGGAATAAATGTTCAAATAGGAACTTTTGTTCTCCGCTTATTTCAGAAGGGTGTCGAAGCAGAGAAGAGAGCTATATCTTTCCTCTCCAAACTGCGGAATGAACTGCAAACAGACAAACCGGTGACCCCTTTGGAAGATGAGCTGCCTGATGCTGCGCTGTGGAACCAATACCTGGACTACCAACGAAATTTATCAAATGGAAATGGAGAACCAAGTTGGTTTCAGTCCCCTTGGTTGTTTGTAGAGTGTTATATGTATCGAAGAATTCATGCAGCATTAGCACAGAAGTAAGTATTTACTAGCTTGGTGTGCCACTTTGAAAAACATTGTTCTTTCCCATTTCTATTTTAGGAAGAAGAAAGACAGCTGAGGAGTAAGATAAAGGAAAATATTAAACTTTTACCATATTCCTTTTTCCTTGTCTCATACTTCAATTAAAATTAATACCTTTTCTTCTTCCATACAGCAGAATTTGCTTCAGTTTTAAGGAGTTGATCTACTTGAAAACTCTTAAGCTTGACTGCATAGCCTGACCTTCTTGCAGACTAATCTGAATTGAGATATGAAAATCAAGTAGCATTTCTAAAAGGTTTCTTAGCCTAGAATTCTCTCTTAAGCCTAAAACAGGGAATGTGAGAGCCACAAATCTGTTTTGTCGCTTGAAATCTGAAGTTACCATTTGAGAACTGTTTTTATAGCAGTTTACCCACCTTAAGCAGCCCCTGTTGTTCAATCTACACCAGCTTCTTCGTTACAGCAGTGCACGCAGACCATGTGTTGCATCAAACTCTGGGAGCTGATCCTGGTTAAAAATAACTCTGCAGGAAAAACTTGTGCTTGGTACTGTGGAGAGGTGCCAGTACGATGACATGGGGTAGGAGTGAAAAGTTTAACTTCCCATTGCTGTCAAAAGAATTTGAAAGCTCCATGAATACTGGATTTACCCATAGTATTGCAGAGATGCAAACACAGGAATGGGACTCAGTTTCTACTGGTATATTGTGTAATTTGAACTCTTGTATCAAAAGTTTCAAATATGAGATGGATCTGCTTGATTGCTCTTAAAATGGTCAGTGGATACTTTTCATTAGTAAGATTTAAGTTTCTTGATCTCCATTATTTATCTCCTCTTGAGCATATGCTTTGATGGAAGTTCAGTCATTTGTCGAAAGGTGTATGTGCAAATATGTCTCATAATAGATTGGTTTATATTTCTTATATATTAAAACATTCTCATCTTTGTCATGTTAATTTTCCAGAGTCCTAGTAAAGACTTTCACACGAATAACTTCCTATCACTGTAAGAGAATCTGGTATGGGAAGTAACTTCAGCACACAAAAACACATTTACAATTGGGCCAGCAGTTCTCCACATTAGTTTGCCTGTATGTTACAGTTTTAGTTATCTGTGCCTGAAGGTTGGAGTTCAAAATGGTCACTGTATGTGCAGTTCCCAGAATTGTTGTGACTGAGCACTCCTTCACTTTCAGAGTATATTGCTGGAAATATAAAAATGTTTTGCATGGTGTCTGTTCCAGTGAGATACAACATCAGGCTGCTACTGAAAGTCTAGTATGACAAATGAGAAATGGAAAATCTAACTAGGGCCTGTAGTACAATATAAAAAGCTGACCTTTGAGCTTCATTTGCATATACTGTCATGGCAAGTATGTCAATATATTTGTTCTCCTCTTTTTAGCCCACCTATTGACAACTTTGACGTATTTAAGGAAGGAAAGGCTCAAAATTTCTTTGAATCCCAAGAGGCTGTTATTGCCTTATGCACTTACTTTCAGGAACTTCTTAAGAACATCAAGGATCTAGATGAAAAGCAACTTAAGGAGGAACTCTTTAAGCTATTGCAGGTAAACTACTAGTGCTTAACACAAGAATTTAAAATATCTCTCTTGTGAAACAATCGAAAACTTGAGGCTATAAATAATTGGAATTTCATATGGAAATTAAAATATAGCTCTTTTGTTTGTAAAAAATGTGATGAAATCCTGATTGATAGCCATACTGTATTGCTGCTACTGTGGAAATATTTATATTTTGGTTACTTGTCTTAAATGTGACATTTTCATTAACTGCTGATCTTCATTGTGTATTAGAAAATCCAGCAATTTTCCCTGAATTGAGTATTTCTCAAACGTTTTAAGTTCCAGATGACCTTTTTGGTATTTAACTATAGTTTTTTTAAAACAGTAAATTTTAACTGACACTCTAAACATTATTAAACTTCTTTGGAGAAAAATTTAGAAGTCAGTCTGGGCCAGAAGTTGTTTAAAAGCTTTATAATGACTATAATGCCTTTGGGTACAATACCCAAAGTATCTTAAGATTACAAAGAAGTCCATTAGCTGGCAACAGTGCAAACCAAGTATTTGATCAATCTTTATAAAGAGATCATTAGTGAGTACTTAAAATACATATACTTAAAATACTTACTTGGCTGCACGTAATAAGAAAAATAGACCTGCTTTAATATTCCTTTTTCTGTGTTACCACAGATATTTTTTGGAATTGCAGTATGGAGAATATTTGTGTTTTAAGCTTTGTCATCAGTGTATCTGTGTTGATCTAAATCTTTCCTCTTTGTCACTTCCGATGCATGTTTCTGATACCTGCAGAAATACAGAGCATTGTTTGCTTTCTTCCACAAAATCTCATCTATGTTAAGATATCTGTATAAGAAGTAGAGTGTGGAGTTAGAGCCTTCACTACCTAAACCAAAAAGAAGGAAACAAAATCTTTAGTGTATGTGAAGTTCAGAATGTAACTACAGTGAGACTTAGCAAATGTGTTTTGTTTTTTTCTTCCTTCCAGGTGTCATTGTGGGGCAA